CAGTAGTAGTTATGAGAAAGGATTATTTTCTCTTCCTTTTTTTTTTTTTTTAAAGATTTTTATTTATTTATTTGAGAGAGAAAGTGAGAGAGACCACAGAGGCAGAGGGAGAAGCAGACTCACCACTGAGCAGAGAGCCCAATGTTGGACTTGGTCCCAGGACCCTGGGATCATGACCTGAACTGAAGGCAGATGCTTGACTGACTGGGCCACCCAGGCCTCCGCAAAGAGGATCATAGTTCAGTAATGATAATAGTAATAGGACCAGCTAAAATTTATTGAGCACATTCTAGGTTTAGAGCACATGCTAAAGCCTTTACATGGATATCCTATAACCCTCAGAATAACCCTAAGGTAGGTAAAATTAATATCTCCATTTTACAGATGAACGCACTGAGGCTTAGAGATGAAGAAACTGGTCCAAGATCACGGATCTAGTAGGTGGTGGATTTGAGAGGTCACAGAACCCACCACCATGTCATGGAACTTACCAGGAGTTAGGTTTCATTTTTAAACGAAGGCTAGGGACAGGAAATGAATCTGCATACTTAGCCAAACATGTTAAGAATGTGAAAATAACTCACTCCCAGTTTCTACAGTGTTTCAGAGTAAATAATCTCAAGGAGCCTGTCCAAGCATGCAACTTTTTGCCCACGCGCTTGCAAAAGAGAAGACAGTGCTCATTGCAGAGAACACTTATATTTTCCACCTGCCCTACTCCTGGTAATCACCTATCCTGGTTTCTTTTCAAGGACCGCATCTGAGCAAACCACCTTACCTCCCAAGCAACAGGTGTCTGCTTACCACCTGGAGCAAGACAAGAGAAAGTGGTCCATGGTTGGTCTCAGGTGAACACTACCATTCTGTTACATGAAGGTTTGCAGAAACCTAGAGCTTTCAATCTTCTGTGTTTCATCGTATCTGCTATCAACACACATGCTTGCCTAACTGTCAACTTTCCCAAGCGTTCTGTGTAAATGCAGAAGAACCTGGTCTTAACAAGAGCCTGGAGGCACCAGGAGGATCTGTTCCTCTTCTTTCTCCTCCCATTCATCATTGCTATTAAGCATTTATTAAGCATTTACTGTGTACCCAGCACTCTGCTATAGTTGTGGGCACATTCCTGCTTCCCAGCAATCGTATGAGAGGTATGAGATATAATGCTTGAACTCACTTCTCAGGCGATGAAGCAGACTGAGGGGTTTTTTAACTGCCTCAAGGTCACACAATGAGGAGCAACGCCTGGATTAAAACACGGATCTGTTGAACTCCAGAGGACGCGCTCTTAACTGCAAAGCTACAGGGCTGGCCTTAAAGGATTTACAATAAGGCATAGGATCAAGGAACAATGGGCCAGATGTGTGGATCTAAGATAAGCCTGTATTTACATAAAGTGATAGGGCTGAGATTTAGAGGTTCTTAATCTGGGGTTCACAGACCTCTGAGTGTCCAAAAATAGATTGCAGAGGCCTGTAACTCTCTAGGACAGGAGTCAGCAATTTTTTTCTTAAAGGACCAGATAGGCTTTGCAGGCCCTATGGTCTCTATTGCAATCACGCATGTCTACCGTGGTAACGCAAAAATGGCCACAGACAATACAAATGAATGGGCAAGGCTGTGTGTCAATAAAACTTTATTTACAAAAATAGGCAGGGGGCCAGCAGGCTCTACAATGGTGTGCGAATTCTATGTGTCTCCGTGCATTTTCGTTGTGATTAGAAGAGCCATACCTTTCTACAGCTTCTCATGAAGACTGAAAATCCAAGATGGCTATGAACTGGTCTAAATGATCTCCAAGCCCTTCTAAGCTCAGACATTCCCAGATTCTGTGATTCTACATGTGTTTTAAATCAACACTCTCTTAAAGACTCTTTCTCCCTCGCAGGTCTTAAGTGGATTATAATCACCCTCCGTGGAGAAGAAAACAAAGAACCTACCACATTCTCACCTTCCCAGTCTTACCTGGCCAGATGGTACCTGCAGGAACACAAACACATCCCCGCCTGGACTATGGCGGCTCAGTCCTTCCCCAGCCTGGTGTGAGGTTTGCTGGGGCATCTTCTTCTTCCCAGAGAGCACATTCTACCTTCTCCTGAGCCTTCTCCACCAAAAGCCCTCACTTGTCTTGACCACCATGATATGCAGTTTGGACTCATGGAGTCAGCCGGGCCAGCCCAGATGATGCCTTGGATGAGCTTGACTGACGCATCTCTGCATCTGTTCAGGGACCCCCTCCCAAGAACACCTAATTCTTTCTCTTCGGATTCCCCAGCTTGTAGAGCACATTATCTACCACCTTTGATGACACAAGTACGGAGCTTACCCTGCCTCCCACTCCATGGGACTTGTCTGCTCCCAACTGGACAATGCCGATGATGCTCCGTTGTGTCCGCCACAGAGCCTGGCACCATGCTTTATGTATATTTTTTAGGCTCTTAGCACCGAGATTCCCCCAAAGCTCTGGCCAGTTTTAAATTCTCGCATTACTTCTGAAAATCTAAATGACGATGGTCCAGTCACCTCAAATAACAAACCCGATTGACAGCTTTAAATTTTAAGGGGTGAAAAAGAAAAAGATATATTAAAACAGGGAATCGCAAATGCTATGAATCACAAAGTGAGTGCACTTGGATCCCTGGTTTCTGAGAATGGAGGACTGGTCCCAGAGGAAAAAGCAGGAGAAAAAGCAGAAAGGGAGAAAGGCCAGAGGGCAAGAGAAGGACACCGCGAACGACGAGCCTGACAGGTCCACAGGGGAAGGACAGGTGCGCGGCGGTCTGCACACTCGGCCAACTGCGCCTGCGGTGGAGCTCCGCATCGCCGGAATGCCGCTGTTTGTCAGAGGGAGCGACCACCGAGGAAGGAAATAAGCCAGCAAATGAAAATCAAGGGAAGATCCATCATTTAGCCAGGACTGGTGGAGACTTTATTCCATATCAGACGCTGGTATCTATCACATCAGGGTTGGTGTCAGCTCTCTGAAATGAAGCCACGTGGTGAGGACCATATCGCCAACTAGTATTTTGGTTCAGCTTTGGTGACCATGTTCATCGGGCAGCAGTGTGGTGCCCCGTAAATAGAAATGGGTTTTGGAGGCGTGGGCTCCTCTTCTGGCATATATCTTATATGTAAAGTACGTATATATGTATATATATATATATATATATATGTACTTAGATGAGTATAAAATACCAGATAAATGTAAAATTGACCTTGTTCTTTATACTTAACAAGGTAGTGGGTAGGCGGGGGTGGGGATGATGGCATTTCACACAGAAGGCTTGGTGACTCAAGGAAACGTCTTTTTTTCCCCTCGGTAATATCTGGTCTGGGATTATTACTGCTTTCGCGATGTTTCTAGACATACTTCTCCCCTTCAGAAATGCCAGAGGTGAAAAATACTATTCTGCTGCTATAATTTGTCACCCTGGCTGCCTGAGCAAGAAAGATCTGCATAGATGGTTTAGTAATTAAGCTTCTCAACACTGCATCATAAAGTTTTATTCTGGTGAAGGCTATATTTATCAGCTAACAAGTGTTAAATCACCCCACTGCTCCAGCCGTTTCTCACTTAAATATGCTCCTTTCAAAACGGAGCAGCTTTCCTTGGCTGGCTTGATTTAATAAAAGTTCTTGTTTGGAAATGCCACAGTGCTGTGTGGTCCTGTGGGATGACAATGGCTCCACATGCTACCGACCCCGACTTCCCGGGGGTTTGCCCAGGGTCTTCCAGGGCCCCCGGGCCATCTGAGTTTCGTGGCCTCCAGGGATGGCTTCCAGCACAAGATATTTTTCTACCCATTTCAATTTCTGAAAGGATAGAGGTGAAGGAAAATAAAGAACACAAGCAGTGGGTACGTTTTATTTCCTTATTTGAGCAGCAGGAAATTAGCCTCTTCCTCACAGAGACGGATCTACATGTAAAATGAGTTTTTAAAACGACTCAAAATAGCGAAGCATCGATCATCTACATACTAAGCAGGCTTGAGCCTTTTCCTGTAAGTGCCATAGTTTTCTCAAAACAGATGTGGAATTATCAGGGAATTAGAGGGAGTAGATATTAAAAGTAATCAGTAATGACTTAGACGAATCTTTTCTCTAAGTAACTCCCCCTGCCTTCATAGGTCCTTCCTTGCTCTTTTCTTTGGAGGATGTGGGCTCGTGGGACGAATGTAACAATTGTTCTTAAGGCTTCAGGAGGCTTTTAATCCAATGGCTCCAGGATGGCATCAGTTAAACACAAGATAGTTAACACATCTGAATGTCTTTTCTGTCATGCTTCGAGGGTAAAACCCAAAGGAAGACAAATGTTAATCAAATATGGGCCAAAATGATGAAAGAAATCTCAATATCGGTCATCTTATCAACCCAGAAATCAAATGCAGTTCCCCATTCCTTTAGTGACAGGTAGCTGGTGTAGAAGGCGGGAATCAATTTCTGTCCAGCCAGCGAGTGACGGGAAGCAGGTGGGTCACTGAAGCATGTGTGTGATACGCTGAACCACTAAGTTGGCAAATATTGAACTATTTTAAGTGCATCTATTTTCCAGTTCAGTAAATTTTCTTGTTGTATTAAATTCATTAAACTCAACCCAATCTAAATACCACAGCACATCCCGGGGACCATAGGAAGGCAGTGGCACCCGCCAGCCAGCAGAGCAAGAGGTAAAGATCGATCTATATTCTCTCAGCTTCTATTTAATTTTTACCTTTCATGTTAGGGCTGAGTTTTTATTTTAAGGTGAAAAACTATGACACGACTTGGAGAGTCAACTTGGATCCGGTTATTATGTGAAAACGTGAAGAGGGGTTTATCAGTGAATTGTCCTCCAAACCACAGTCCCAGAAACGATGACATCTATGACCTATGATTCAGGATCATTTAATAACCAGAGAGAGACAGAAATTACTCTCTGTTAGCCACAGTTTGGGAAAATCTTGCAGTTCAGCAACTGGCAAAAACACTGAATCAAGGACCGACTTGAAGATTAAAAACGAGTATTGGATGATAATTATTCTTTATTTAGAATGGAAATTTTCAAAAGAATAAAGGTTTTGGAACATGAACTATTACTTTGGTTGGACCTGCTTCTTTGGGAGGGTCATTTGTTATTCTTAACCAGTGTTTTCTTCTAACAAGGGGGAGTCATGGCAATTTAGAAACACTGTAAAGGTGCACGGTACAAGGAATTTTCATTCTAGCGTGGGTTGTAACTGTCAAAAATCATAAAATCAATTTAATACTCCATATGAGAAATTTTCCAGTAATTTCTCTCAACAAAATAGAAACCAAAATGATCGATAACAGACACTTGTGAAGACAAAAACCCGAAGCTCATGTAGAGAACAAAGATACAGGTACTAAATGTGGTTCTTTAAAGCTTCTAAAACACACCGGGCAGAAGTGACGCAGCCATCGAAGTTGGACTGAGTGAATGCGTCCCCTCCACACACAAGGAAAGGTTTGAGATGAAGCGTCAACTGGCCATGGAAGTCGGCAGCAGCGTTTGTAACCTGAAGAGGTTAAAAAACAACAACGACAACACAAAAGGATTATGGTTGATGCTCTCTGCCCTCTTGCGCTGTGATGTCAGCACCCACCTGGGGAAATCACCATGTCTCACAAAACTGAGACCCCCTAAGCCCCTCCCCTCACCCAAGGATTCATGCTGACCTTCTCAAACGTTGACATTTTCACTTAGTTGACAAACTTATCAGAAGTGTGTTGAACCAGAAAATCAGTAGGTCATGAGAGGCTTAATTAGTTGGAAGTACAGTTTTTTTTTTTTTTAATAAGGGGAAATGATATTCATGAAATCATTTACCAATGATAGAGTCCCTGCAACATGCCAGACAAGGGAAACCAAAAAGAGAGGAAGGTGTCCTTAGGGAGTTTCCAGTTCAGCCCAGAGTGCGGGCATCGGACAGCATCTAAGGGCTAAGACAGGGTGAGTAAGAGCGCGCTATGGGAACGCCTGCGACACTAGGTGTCTCTCTGGATAGAGAAGCCTTCAAAGGGGAGGGGATGGGTCACTTCACTTGAAGTGAATTATACCCTCATTTTATTATGTTCAATTGCAATTTGATTTTTCCCCAGCTTTATTGAAGTAAAATTGACAAATAAAAATTGTATATATTTAATGTGTACAACTTGATGTTTTGATATACATATGTATACATTGTAAAATCATCCAGAATCAAGCTAATATATCCTTCAGCTCACATAGTTACCATTCATCTTTCCTTCCTCCCTCCCTTCTTTCTGGTGAATCACTTTAGGATCTATTGTCTTAGTGAATTTCAGGTACACAGTACAGTATTGGTAACTAAGTCATGTTGCTGCATATTAGATCCCCAGAACGGACTCACCCTGTGTAATGGGTGATTTGGACAAGCATCTCATTCCCCCCTCCCACCAGCTCCTGGCCTTCACTGTTCTACCCTCTGCTTCTATGAGTCTGACTAGTTTAGATTCTGCATAGAAGTGAGCTCATGAAGCATTTGTCTTTCCATAGCTAATAATCTTGAAATCGGCTGAGAAGACCTTTGAGTGGCTAAAACAGACAGCACAGAGTGTAGATACTGAAAACATAGACTTCAGTTTTCCGTCAGAGCCTTTAAATTCCTACTTTGTTTTATTTTAATTTTGTAAAGATTTTATTTACTTATTTATCTGAGAGAAAGAGACTGAGAGAGCACTTGTGTGAGCAGGGGGAGGAGCAGAGGGGGAGGGAGACGGACAAGCAGGCTCCATGCTCAGTGTGGACCCTGATACAGGGCTCGACCTCATGACCCTGAGATCATGACCTGAGCTGAAATCAAGAGTCAGATGCTTAACTAAGTCAGCCACACAGGTGTGTCTAAATTCCTACTTTGGATAGAATTTAAACAGGTTGGATTATTTGATTTGCCAGTGAAACACTATGGGAAGAAGAAGACTGTTAGGTACTTAAACATATTGATGATTTCAGAGTGCAATAGCTGATAATCTGAAAACAAGGGATGCCATATAAACATTCAAAAACCAGATAAGACTGGGCAGAAACTTGGCAGTCTGGGGCCACTGTATAGAGAGGCAAATAATGTTCTGACTCCTATTAGGCCATGAGGGTGTTGGCTTTGTTTTCCTGCAATCACCAGCGCTCCTGATGATGGCCCCAATATTCAAGGACAAGTTCTAATACGCATAAAGTATTCCTTGTTAGCATTTCTTTTAAAGTGTGCCACATGCCAATGCTTTACACGTGTGCCCATTTAATAAACACGGCCTCACTGTCAGTTACTACTGTTCTCATTTTATAGAGGAGAACTCTGAGACTCAGAGATTATCACCTGCCTGAGGACAGAGATCGACGAGGTGAAGAAACAGAGATTCGAACAGAGCAAGTGGACTCCAGAACTTACCCTTGTGACACGTTCAGAAACATTTCCGTGAAGACTTGATTTAAATAAAACAAAAATGTTTGATAGTCACTGATAGTTTTATGCATCTGGAAAATTCATATGAACAGGGTAACTCATTCATACACCTATACACGTATGCACCTAGGTATACAAAGTAATGCACATGCACATATATGTATAATTTTTAAAACAAAGCAAAAACTTTTGATGGTCTCTTAGCTTAACGCATCTAGAAAATCACATAAATGGGGTAACTCATTCATAGTATTCCTATATACATACATATATGTGTGTCTATGTATAATTTATACACACACACACACACACACACACACACATAAATCTCCATTTGTCGTAAAGCTTTGATACATTCCAGTTGACGTTGCTGTACAGATAACCAGCCCTACTGCACATTAACCGGTATTAAGCAGGAGGGAGCCAAAGGGAGAAAGCCCTGCCCAGGGTGAGCACACAGTGTATCAGGGCCATGTAATTCCATTCCATGAGTGGTAAATGTCAGATGATTGGCCAGCCTGCAGTTTGGGGAGGAAATCAATCTCACTGCATTTAGGTAGAATCTCCTCTTCTGCAACGACCCAAGGAGGAAACTTTGAAACACGAAGTGTGTGTTGGCAAGCTCCTCCCCCCAAGGGAAGGAGAGAGGGAGGCCGTGGGGGGAGCCCACGAGGGCCAAAGCCCCAGTCTCTCGCAGCAACGCAGCCTTTGGCTCTGCCTCCCGCCGCAGGGAGGGACCAGACCGCAATGACTGTGTCGGGAGAGCTGTCAGAGCTGAACGCCCTTTGGGAAATCCAGATGGCCTCGGCCCACATGTGCACCAAGGCTGGTCAGAAAAACCTCTCGCCACCGACACTGATGCTCTGGGGTCGCTAAGGCAATGTTTCTCTCCGCTTAAGTGATGAGCGGACTGGACATATATATCGAAGCAGAAAAAGTGGTTTTCTTTCCAAGCTGTTTCATCCTGCGTCAATGTGTTATGTGTCTTCTCTTCACCTGCAGAATGAAAACTCCTCCCTCCCCATGGACGACCTCCATGACCAAGTCTTACACAAGCCTGCTGTCTCGTCCTTTTGCTCACCTTTGCCACATATCCTGTCTACATTCACACTGAGCTGCTTCACACACACCCTTCTTTGTCCTGTTTCTGTGACTTTGCACCAGCCGTCCTGCGGGGTGATGTTATACCGCTCCCCCTCTTTGCTGCTGAGGAAATGGTCGCCCTTCTAGAAGAGCCCAGAAGTCACCTGAGCTGAGGTCTTCTTGCTCCACTGGGTTAAGAGCCTTTACAACGTGTTATTTTATGACATTACTTGTTATTTTGCGCTGTCATTATGTCCAGATTTGTCTCCCTTCCTAGACTACGTGCTTCAAAGGGCAGGGGCTGGGTTGCACCAATCCTTGTGTCCAAGGCTGGGGATGGTGCCCAGCCTCTATGACATGTGCAGTGGATGTTTATGGAGTTAAAAAAGAAAAGACAATATTGTACACACCATTGATCAAATGAAAGTCTTCACAGGGAACCATCTACATGGAAAGTGTTGTTCAGAGGCTCCCACTAAGGGGGCAGAAGCTCAAACAGAAGAGACTGTAATTAGAATGTTCTCAATAGCGACACATACAGGGCTGTCCTCTCATCTCGGACTGTGAACTGTTTCATGTGAACATCTCATGTGCCATGTATGACGTGGAACCACACAAAGCCGCTGATTCTGTAGGTCAGCAACGTTAAATATTGTCCGTCTCCATATGGTTTAACCTAAAGATTTCTTTGTATTGTGATCATTAGCGATAAAAACACACCCAAGAAGTCCCTTTGGTGTAAGAATGAAATTAAAGATGACAAGAGAGAGGAGCAGATCAGAAGGCTAACGGCGACTTAAAAGTGGGGATTATCAACGAAGTGAAGGTGATAATTAGCAAGAAATAATCCAGTGACACACTTGGCGATGTGCATTCTTCCTTCCATACCTAAGCTGACCGCTCAGACTGTCAGGCATCTACCCAAACAGAACAATCTTGCTGTGTGGCCTCAAACATAGCTTGACTTTGGGTTGATCCATTCTAGTTGGCTGTCCACAGCCCATGATTGGGTTCCTCAAAACCAGCCTTTCTGAAATATGACACTAAGTGACATCCACGTGGTGTGGCAAGAACGGAGGTCTCGCCCATTCTAGTCCTAGATGCGCAACCAAACGAGTAAGAAGATATGGACAATATTTCAACAATTAGCCCCTTGCTACTGCATTTCCTCACTTGTCATGGATGTAAATTATGCCGCATTTCATTGGATCTAAGGCACAGTCAACCGGAAGAGGCACCAATAATTTGGGCGCCAATGAGGAAGAAAAATGGTGGCAGCGTGACACAAAGCTCTTGTACTTATCTACAAGTAGCTCTTCTGCAAAACTAGAAAGGACATACAAGAGGGATATGGTTAAGCCTTTCCAAAAAGGTCTTCACACATAGAGCGTGACTTCTCCACTCTCAGACTTGTCCACATCCATGCTTTTCCCCATGTCACAGTCTGTCCTCTGCCTCCTAGAGCATTTCTTACATGAGTGCTCCCCTGAATTGTACTTTCTGGCTTTTTCTCTCAGCCACTGATACCTGTCTTGCAAGTTCCGGTCATGTACTTTCTCTGTGGTGGGAAAGAAAAGTTTCCAGACAGCAACCAGGACTCATACCCTCTTCTCGAATGGTCCTCAAATAATTTCTTAATTAAAATATCAAGGGGTTGCCTTGGCAGTCCCACTGTTAAACCACCCCAAACAGTCAAGTTCACATGTGTGAAAACAACCTCCTGACGGTGTCCTGGTGTGTACCAACACCATGGCATCTCACAAGCAATGAAATATGGAAACATAAAATTGAGTAAGGGGGTCGGGTGATGGGCATTAAGGAGGGCACTTAATGGAATGAGTCCTGGGTGTTGTATGCAACTGATGAATCACTAAATTCTACCCCTGAAACTAATTTTTTAAAAATGGGGGAAGGGGAGAAGAATGACAAGTACTTAACCTGAGTAAATGCATTACAAGTCCAAAGGTAATGAGCAGCAGGATCCTTGAAGTGGGGCCTTTTCTGGTCACAGG